TAAAAATATATTTTTATCAAATAAAGTCTAATATTAGAACTAATCAGGGATCCCTTTCAGTCTTCTAAAGGGAGCTCAGATTTTTATTTTACCTTCTCCTGAGATGTCTGGTAGCGCAGGTGCAGGGCGGTGGGGTCCCAGTCCACAGCTATATAAGCATTTTCTACAGAAGCACGGTCCTCATTACATTCGATGGTGCAGCCTCTGCAGAACCTTTGAACAGATACAGAACGAACTCATCCAAACATCCTGACGTACAGGAAGGAAGAGATGTTTCTGTTACATCTTATTTAACCACAACTAAATATGGCATTTATACCTCTTTTAAAACTCATTCAATCCAAAGACCAGACAAGATTGTGTGTGCATGGTTCTGACTCTTACCGGTACCAGGGACACCAGGCACAGGAGTTGCCATCCTTCCCTACGACCCGTAAGGTGAATGGGTACTGGTAGCCCATGCTGTCATCACTGAGAAGGAAGACAGCTGGTCAGCTCTGTGTCTGTTAGCATCGAAAACTTTTACGTGATTGTTCAGACTGATTCCAATGATCAAAGTGTTTTGTTCCCATAAAGTGAAAATTTCCTTTAACAACAGTTTGTATTTGAGTGAAACCCTTGGCTGTACATAAATAAATAACATGAGTACCAGTCCTGGGCGTGGTTGCTGGCCTCCTGMGGGGGCAGGGGGCTGGCCAGCCGGGACACCTGGATCCAGACTGCGTCGTACAGATCCCTCTTACTGGTGTGGACCGTGCAGGGGACAATGAGAGGCATTCCAAACAGACTGGGCCGGTTCTTTTGAGAGGACAGGAAGTAGAGCTCCATACGCATCTAAACAGGGAGCAAACAGATGTTAGGAACATCTCTGAGGCTGACAAACAGCTGGAAGTAATTAAAAACAGCTGTCACCATCTTCCTGTGCATGGCGATGATGTAACCAGTGAAGGGGCTCTCCTGCACCGGGGTGATGTGTCCGTTAGCAACCCCGTTCACCAGGTGTGTTTCTGAGCTGGAGGACACCATGGTGCCAGGTCCACCACAGAACATGAGGATGGGGTTGTTGCCCAGGTGCCCGTTAGCAGCAGAGCCGTTAGCTGTTGGGGTGATGTCTGATGAAAGAGAGAAAACAAGTTGTTGTTCTCTCTCCTGTAGGACTCACCACACCAGATGTTCCCTTCATGACTCGACCGCAGGCTGAACCTGCAGCTTCAGGAYCATAAGACCACACCGCTGACCAAGCTCCCAAACAACAAAAACTAAAAAAGAATCTGTATACCTTTATATCAGGGCAGAGCTGTAAAGTAACTAAGTACAAATACTTTGTTACTGTACTTAAGCAGAATTTTTGGGTATCTGTACTTTACTTGAGTAATAATTTTTCAGCCTACTTTTTACTTCTCCTCACATTTTTTAAAAAAGACAAGAAGTAGAAAGTTGTTACTTTTATTTCATTTTTGTTTGTTTTCATTGCAGCTTGTTATTGTAAAAAGTAAAAACGTAATGTTATGCATATAACTACTGTTCCCTGAAGGAAAGGAACGAGGTACAACATCATGTATGGGA